AGCAAGAGGTTTAGAGAATGTATTGGTATAAGAGAAAATAAAAAAGGAGTGAAGGATGACTACAAGAACTTGACACTAAAGTGGATTCTTTAACAGAAAAAAATGAAGTTCTAAGTGGACACTAATTTTGTGTGTGGGTAGGATTTGGAGTTCAAGAGCTAAGAAGGACTTCTGGCTATAGATAATTGTTACGGAAACGATGATTATAGTTTTAGAGTTTAGGTGAGGATTCCAAGATGGAAAGATAGGAAAGGCAAATTTTGAAGGAAGCTTGAGAAATGGAGATGGTTGATAGCCTCTGAGGAAAAAGTATAAAGATAAATGAGGAAAAAAAAGAGTATTTGACCTCAAAGCCACACAGAGTGCTAAACTTTGAGAAATATACCTTGAGAAGGGCAAACATGCAGGTACAGAATAGGTGGTCGAAGAGAAGGAGAGCACAGATGTCTAATTTCATAGAAACCAAGAGAAGAATTAAATCATAAATCAGTAAAGACATAAAAAGAAAATCTAAATTCTATTTTTGTTGACTAAACAAACTTGGGTTCCTATGGAATGACAGGAAATTTGACTAGAAGATTCTATCTGGTAGAGCATATAAAATGCAGTGTCACCACCACCCTTTACAGTTTGTCCCAGTCTGAATCCACATCATAACTGGTAAGAATGTCCTAAAAGACACTCCCTCTGAGCATGTGCCCTGACCAAAAATTGAGCCATGACCTCCTGGTTCATAGGTCAATGCTCAACCACTGAGCCATGCCGGCCAGGCATGTGTGGCTTTTTAAAGTGAAGGTTTCGTATTGAACAGACATGCTTAGCACTTTGAGGCAACTGTTGCTGCTATAGAAAGAATATGTTGAAGAAGGGGAATAGCACTGTTTAAACTGGAAAAGTATCCTTTGAGAGCCGGGGCTGGGGAAAAGGTTGTGGCCTTGAGACAACCAGAGCAAGTTCTTCTTTTTTTAATTTATTTATTGATTAAGTTATTACATATGTGTCCTTATCCCCACATTAGCCCCCATTCCTCCCACTCATGCCCTCACCCCCCTGTTGTCTGTGTCCATTGGTTAGGTCTATATGCTTGCATATAAGTCCTTTGGTTGATCTCTCTTCCTTACCCCCACCCTCCCCTACCTTCCCTCTGAGGTTTGACGGTCTGATCGATGTTTCTCTGTCTCTGGATCTGTTTTTTTTTCATCAGTTTATGTTGTTCATTATATTCCACAAATGAGTGAGATCATGTGATATTTATCTTTCTCTGACTGGCTTATTTCACTTAGCATAATGCTCTCCAGTTCCATCCATGCTGTTGCAAATGGTAAGAACTCCTTCTTTTTTACTGCAGCGTAGTAATCCATTGTGTAGATGAGTGCGAGCAATCATTCTGTGGTGGAAACCTACCTACCAATGGAAGTCAACAAGTCAGTGGCTCCAGGTTAACCTTAAATGCCCCCCCCCAACACTGACATTGCAACCCTGTGGGAACACACAGTTGAATTTTCTACCCCCAAGACTTTGGGGCTTTTCTAGAGCCTATGAATACTGTGTTCTTAGCTTCATGAGGAAATCCTCACAATGTCAGAATAACACACACACACACACACACACACACACACACACACAACTACCTTTATCAGTTAAGGACACATGCTCAAGAATTTACATATGAAATGATTTTGGAAAATTTTTAAATTTCTGGAAATATTTTCTAAAAAGATAATGAGTAGATGAAACAAGATTAAAATAATGAAAATTCCAAAGCTTGGTGATGAATAAGTGGAATTTCACTACATATTCTCCGCCCTTTTATGGGTTTGTGAATATTATGTAATAAAAAGTTTTGAAATATTTGCTATCTTGATAGGTAAAATGGGTAAGTTACTGTAGTCTTATATGCATTTCTTTGTACTTAATGAAAATGAACCTGTTTATTTTTTAGTGGTCATGTATATTCACTTAAATTTTCTGTACAGATTCTTTGCCCATATTTTAAAATCTGAGGAGAGGGCCTTTATTTTGACTTGTAGGATGCTTTAAGAAAAATCAAGCCTTTTATTTAGTGTATTTGAATGTTCTATATTGTTCCTTTAAATTTGCATTTTTTAAATATTTTTAACACATTTATTGTTAATATTTAAATGAAAGCATTCATCCTTTTTTTTCCTTCATGGTTTGTGCCTTTGGTGTCATTTTTGGATAATTTGCCTTGAAAAAGTACTGCTTTCAATATTGCAGCAACATAAAATATTACGTTGGTTAAAAAGAAAAAGTCCTGCCCTCTGACCTCCTTTACACCTCAATAGTTCCCAACTATTACTTTATATAGTTCACACTCACTTAGTATATTAGCCATGAGTTTCTATGTGCTACAAGTGTCAAGGATTCCCTCCACTCCACAGGACTCATTCCTTATACCCTCCTCACTCCTCCTTTATCAGGAGACCATTCACACCGAGTTCCCTGGCACCCTCCCTTCTCCCTCACTCACCCTCTGTCATCACCTGGCTCTTTGTTCCCACATATGCACCTTGCTCAAACTGAAACCATCGTCCCTGTCCTGTTAACCTGCCACAGGTTCTCAGGTCAAGGATTTCTTTAGTCAACAGGTAAGAAATGCCTTTTAACTTACCATGTAGGTAAAATGGTGTCGCATCCCCTCTGAGAAATCTGCAGTTCTACCCATTACTGATAAAATGCTATCAAATTTCTGTGAAATGTTATGTAACTTTAACATCTGACCTGCTCTACCTTCCAGCACATCCTCCAGGTTCCCTCTTCTGGCCATACTCTCATGCATGCTTTCTTTCTTCTTTCTTTTTTTGTTACAGTTGACATTAAATATTATATGCAGTTCTTACAGACCACTTCCCCAGATGTGGATCAGTCTTCTCCTATTTTATTGCCTTATCTCACTTGTTTTGTTCAATCCTCTCCATCCTAGAAGGCCAGATCTTTTGGTATCTCCACCATCACGTTTCCTCTAATCCCTTTAGTTAGAATTAATCCCTGCTTTCCCCAAGATTCTGCTCAGAGTTACCTGTACTCCTACTTACCCCTTAAGTCGTTCTGTTGTGTAACCTGGCTAAGGGTCTTTCCTGTTAAATTTGAGCTCCTCAAGAGTAGAGGTGTTTCTTTATTCTTCATTGTATTTTCCAGTGCCTTATTCAGAGGCTGATCATAACTATTTCTTAACTTTATTTAATTGATACTATATAAATGTTATGCTATGGGTTTGGCTTTGACTGTGTATCCTCAATAAACAGAGTTTCTGCTTTGATTCATAGAGTAAACTTCTAAATTATAATTTAGTTTTGAAAAACAGATTACAATTTTCTTCTCCTGCCTTAGATTCCTGGTTTCAGTAAGACATCCAGTGAACCATGTTCTCTAAGTAGACATTTGTCTGGCTTGTCAATCTACCCTTTGTGCCCTCACCTTTGACACCCTCCTTCACATGAGTCCCAAATCCTTTATTGTGCCCTGCTCCCTGGGCATATTGCCAACTATCTGCTGATCTAGTTGCCTGAAATTTCAACTTGTGCTCTAACTTAGATTTCCATGCTCCTTCCCCCTATTTAGATTTCAGATCACTCTAACACTGCTTTCCCACACCTGCTACAACGGTCTCTACTACAGTATTTCCCTAGTCAACTGAAGACATTGCTATTACATATGGTGGGACCCAGTCTCCAGCACATGACCCCCCATCCATAGGTGTGTCAGTTTCCAGGTGCTGGTCCTAGTCTGTTCAGTCTCAATGAAGCTAACCTTTGCATTCAGAGTATTTGTATACATAACAGGAAGATCAATTGGGAAGCTTTGCTATGTGATGATAGGATTTTGTGGACTTCCCTGAGCAAGTAACTCTGCTGAAATTGGAAAAAGTATGCCTTGATTTTCTAATGATTTTAATGTGGGAATCGTGTATATGTTTAATCTATTACACCTTACTGACTAATTATGATTTCAGATAAGAGAAGCAATCACTTCAGAATTTGAAGTTCTTTGGGTTGAACTCATTCCATTGGGTAGTTATTTTTTAATCTATTCATTTTCACTAATGAGTCACTAGTGATTATATTGATTCCTCTTTCAGGATGGTTCTCAGCCAGGGATGATTTTGCTTCCCTGGGATGTTTGGCAATTTCTGGGGACATTTTTGGTTGTCATACTGGGGAGGTACTACTGGCATTTAGGTAGAGACCAGGGATGCTGCTAATATCCCATGATGCACAGGTCAGCACCACAGCAGAGAATTATATCACCCAAAGCGTCAGCAGTTATGCTTCTGTAATAAGGTATAATTAATAAAATCCTTTGGTGCCTCATAGGTACTTCTATATTACTTGGGGGGAGGGTGTTGATTTTCTCAAATCCACCCTTCATTTTATATAGGTGGTTACAATTTGGTCTGTTATGGATGAGCAGCTACTCTGACCTTTTCCTCATAGAATTCCACCCAATCTCTTCCCTCCATTTGTATGTAAAATAAACTATAGTCTATAGAATTCATCTGATACTTGGTTGTGTCTTATATATCTTCTAATCCCTTCTTTGCATCCCTGCTACTGCACAAATGAAATACAAACTCTGTCTCCTTTATCAACTCAAGGAGCTCATCTACTTTCCACTGTCCATATACTTCTCTTTCCCCCATTGATGTTCCAGCAAACAATTTTCAGTTTATAGAAAAGTTTCCCTTCTCCCCTCCAATACTTCTTTGCTGAATTTTGTTCACTTTTGTGCTATGTTAACATATTTCTTCATTATCATTGTATTTCTCTTGCTAGTATATGTTTTCTTGTATTAAATGGAAATGCAGCAATACTTTGTTTTTCTATATTTTCTTATAAAAACTTTATTATTCAATTAGTATTTAACTGATGATTATTTCAATCTATAAAATATAACAATTTTATTTTCTTACAGTAAGTACACAACTTCTTTTATTCAGAGAAAGGACACACAACTTAACTACTTTGTGTTGACTTCCATAGGTTTACCTGAAGAAGAGGGATTCTCCAGGTTGTCTGTGAGTGGGACAGCGACCTCAACATTTCAGAGACATAGAGAGAGTCACACCACTCAGGTAATGACCCCCAGATATTCAAAGATGCCATGATAACAAATTAAGTTATGACAAGAAATTCATTAAGTATGACCAGGAACATATTTTTTTACTGGACTAGAGGGGAGCTACTCCCATCTCCATCCTAAGTTTCTTCAGCTCAACATTCTTCTTTCTCCTCTATCTCAGTTGACCAGTTTCCTGTGGGTTTGAAGAATAATAATGTGTCCCATATAAATAAAAAATGAATAAATGGTTTTAAAATGGAATATTGTATATGTTATGGTATTTTAAAATTACTGTCAGGGAAAGATGATATTAAATGTACTGAATTATGTGAATAAGTTTTCCACATTTGACCTCAGCTAAAATAAGGGCCCTTTACGTGATAACACATGGAAATAAAATACATGAAGCACCTATGGTTTGTGGCATGCCATTGTATCTCAGTTACTTCTTCCAGATTCCATGTAATCCAAATTCAATTAAAATATGACATGTGATCAGAGCCCAGTAAAATCAAAATGAGGTGGCAGTATACAACATTGTGTTTCAGTGATTTCACATATATGCTTATGTGCTTGGCCTTAGGAAGTTTACCAAAATCAAGATTCTCATTTCCAGAAAAAAAATAACCACTAGTTTTTTTAGAAAGAAGAAGGATTTATATCATATAGTTTGGTGTTTTGCTATGTTGAATTTTAAAATACTGTTTTCAGTAATTATCTTCAAAAAGATACCACTTTGCATTTGAGGTGGTGTACAACCCATCAACATGTTCAATGTGTAGCAACAGAATTCTTATTTCGTATGAAGTTACTGTTACAACTTTTAATATTGCAAATATCTGTGTAAAATTCTTTGAAAATCTCAGTCAAGTATCCAGATGTTTTCATGAGATCAACTATCCAGCTAATGATCAGCTTGCATCTGAATATTTGGCATAATGTAGGCAAGGCCTTATTATCAGATAAGACTTTTCTAAATAACACTGATGAGGTAGTGTGAAAAATCAATAATTTTAATCTTAAAAATAAATCTCACAGGAGGTAATCTGCTCAAATCACTTTCACTGAAATTGAAAGAAAATGCTAATTGGTTGCAATACTACATTGTCCTAATCTCCCCTCTGTTCCTTAGAAATGCGCTTACTTTACCTTGTAAGCCTTACAGATGCTTTATCTAAGGCAGTGGTTCTCAACCTTCCTAATGCCGCGACCCTTTAATACAGTTCCTCATGTTGTGGTGACCCCCAACCATAAAATTATTTTTGTTGCTACTTCATAACTGTAATTTTGCTACTGTTATGAATCATAATGTAAATATCTGATATGCAGGATGTATTTTCATTGTTACAAATTGAACATAATTAAAGCATAGTGATTAATCACAAAAACAATATGTAATTATATATGTGTTTTCCGATGGTCTTAGGCGACCCCTGTGAAAGGGTCGTTCGACCCCCAAAGGGGTGGCGACCCACAGGTTGAGAACCGCTGCTCTAAGGTAATTCACAGAGGGCCCTGCTTGTTATGAACACTGTTTTGATTTTTATTACAGGGTAGACTCCTGTACATGAGAGCACAATGACACCCTTCCCAGGACTCCCACTACAATGTGGTGCATAGAGGAAAGGTTAATATCAAAAGAAGGTTCTTAACATAGGCATCTCTGAAACTTTTCCTCTGATCTTTCATGGACTTGGCCAAGAAGCAAAGAGAGATGGGAAAGGTCACCAGGAATAATTTCCCATTCCTAGTTTTCAATGGAGGCTTGTTTTCAAATGCAAATATGTCAGCCTCCAGTTATCTCATAATGCATTTTTTTCAAGGAAACGGAAAACCAGAGTCATTTTATTCCATGTAAAAGTATGGGTATTCTCATGGTAGGACACATTCCTCACTGTTGAAAAGCTATACAAGTTATATGAAACTATGCATTTAGTGGCCACACGTCTTTCAGCACAAATGCCTCTTGTGTCCCATTTATAGAGGAAATACGGACACATACAGGCATATTACATTTTAGATTTTCTACTAATGCAATTAAATAGGAATTCTATAAAGTCAGCTGGACTGATTGGACATATAGCAGCGAAATTAAATGTTGACTAAAATATTGAACCTTCCCTCTTTAAGGATGTCTATATTTTAATTAGCATCATCAGTGATTTTAATAAAATCTTTTTAAGGAAGATAAAACATATGGGCATTGTGGTAGATAAAGAAAGCTTGAAATAGATTTAGTAATTTGCCCAAGATTATAGGGAAGATTCAGAGTCTACAGTTTGAATGGATGTCAGCATCGTAAGTCCTGTTTCTGAGAATGAACTTACAATAACCTACTAAAGGAATGCAGGAGTAATTCAACTTTTTCATAAAATTTGAAGAATGTTTGGCTCAAGACAAAAATCTAAGCAGCTGTAGTAGACATTGATGATTTGTTATTTTTAGCTGCCAGTCATAAATTTCTCACCTACCACAGTGAAATGTTAAGAGGGAGACTCCCTTTTTCTCTCTCCTTTGACAGCTAGACAAATATATGTGAGAAGGGCTCAGTCACTCTATCAACCATAGATTATGGAGTGAGAGACATATACTGGAAAGGACAGAATAGATGTCGCCATGGGGGTCACATCTGGCAGTGGTGGTTCCCTCCAGCGGCAGCAGATGTTGGTCAATGTATATCTATTGCCAGCCACTGCATCCAGCTTTGTCCAATTTGTGAGATCTTATTTTCTAACTTTATGTCATTCTTTTGCCTTCCAATAAATCTTTTAACTGTTAAGATGTTCAGAGTTAGTTTTCATTGCTTGCAAATAAGAATTTTAACGGGCACTAATTTGATACTCTTTTTTCATGGTACTGAATATTAAAAATATAGTTTGTGTTCATTTGCATCATGATTTTTATTAATTTTATTATTTTGCAAAATATCATGGATTTACATAAAAGTAGTAAAAAATAATTTTACTTAAAATATTTGAAAATAGTGCAAACTGAGACATTAGCTGTATTGTGAATGTGGCTGAGTTCATTTATGCTCCTTATATGGGTTTCGTAGGTCCATGCTGTGAACTGAGATAAAATACTCACGACCTTCCAAAGCACTCAGCATGAATAAAACCAGCAGTGAATGTGTGACGTCATGGAATTCCACATGCTAGCCCTGGAGGTGGGCTTTGTGGCTCATCCAGGACTCAAATTTAGAATTTCATAGGTTATAGAAGCCACTTAGATTGGTTTTAGAATGCAACAACCAACTTTTGTAAAAATAATATGATATTTACCTACTTGACATTTTATGAGATATAAAATCACTTTTAAAAAAATGTGGTGCCACTTGGCATGATGCAAGCCCTTAGAAATAATTCAGAGGCCGAAGACTCAGCAGTGAATGAAATACTGAGAACATCCTCCCACCCAGGGTGACTTCTTAGCATTTTTTGCTATGATTGCAATCCTCTGCTGACGCACAAGACCAGGTAACTTGACACAGGAAGCCCATGGATTATAAATAGCGCAAAAGCATGAGCAGCACAGGAGGGGTGTCCTGAAGACAGGAGGGTGCCAGACAGGGTTGGATAAAATAAATGTTTAGTGCTTGCCCTTGGCGTAAAATTGCTGGTTGCACATCTGGTTAGGGGTCCACACTTGACATTGAAAAATGAGATGTTTTCTTTTTCCATTTGAGCACAGTTTATTTGTATTTACATTCTCATTTTAACTTTACCAACTTTCACTGCATGCCATTTTCTTCCTCTCAGCTGTCTGCTCTCCACAGTAATATCGTGTGGTTTATGATTTTTGATTTTCACTATGGGCATTTATCATATTTCTTGCCAAGCCTTTTTTATATTCTTTTGTTTTTCTAAAGAGCATAAAAAATTTTATTAATATCTGTCAGATTCAAATGTTCATTGTAAGAAATCATTGATGGTGTCTGTTAAAATAGTGGCAATTCAGCACCTGAAAGCTTAGTATATATTTCGCCCACTCCAGAAACAGCTGCCAATGAATGCCATAACATAATCAATATGCCATTGATCCACATCAGGAAACAAATTATGTGGTTTGTTTTACTGAACGATCAAAGAAACCTTTTTGTAATGTCACATATTAACAAAATGAACAGTTGCAGGGTACTAAATAAACCCAGTAGCTTCTTTCTATATTCATTTTATTTGTGACATAGACCTGCTTTGAAATATACTGTGGTATGGAAAAGAAAGTGTGTTACATAAAATAACTAAATCTAGACATTTAGTTTAATCATTAAGGGATAGCTCTAAAGCCTATGGTAGGGAAAAAATAGATAACCATTTCAAAAGGAAATATCTATGTATTTCATTCAGAAGCTTCACACAGATGAAGATCTAGCATAGATGCTCTTTCACATAGCTGAAGTTCCTAGGAATCAGTATGCACCACTCATGACTTCCATATTATGTACAAGAGATGAAAGCAGTGAAATTAATTTGATGGTATGTGATAAATGGCAGCCTTTCAACAGAAAAATGACATATCCTGTATAGATATATAAAAGTTAGAAGAAAAAAGACAACAAAACCAAATCCTATATTTTGCATTTTTCCTTCATAAAAGTCAAACCATACATATGTCCTAAATGTATTCAAGTACATAGTTTTTCTAGTGAAGACACTGACTATTATCAATGAAGATAATTCAATTTTAAGAAATATTAAAAGAATGAGAAATGAGAATTGTGATACGTTTTTAAAGAAAGGAAAGATCTTTGAAATCTCTGCATGCTCATCTTCCAGATGAGAAACCTGCAATTAGCCAAAACTATTGCATAAGGGAGCAAGTAACAATCCAACTGAGAAAATGTGGTTAAGTATAAATTCTGGTTAACTTAAGAATTTCAATATTAATTCAATTTAATTTTTTAAATAAAAGAAACAAAAGACCTAGGTATGAATCCCATATGTGTTATTTAACATGTGAGTATAGAAAGTAGTAATTATTTTTTAGATTTATTAGAGAGAATATGTGTAACAT